ATGCCTATAACTGGTTACTTTGTTAGCAAGTTTATTTCATATCAAGCAGGATAATAGGTTCTCATTCTAGAAAACTATTAAGATAATATCTGCATATGCAGTTACAAACAAACACATTGTTCTGATAAATCCTAATACCTCAAGTTTGATAGAATGTTAGGAGGGAATTTGGTCAACAGACTGTACAACATACAGGGAAATGTATGTGGCCAAGTCTTATCACTTCTGTGATAAAGTATTACTCATATGACTCCTTAAGGCCTCTGAACTCCTACCATGTGTGACCATGCAAACTTGTCATTCATTTAGAAACACCTGTCATAATCTGGAAAGGCTCCACTCCTCAGTTCAAAAACAAAACCTTCCGGTAACAGGGAGAGATTTAGACCAGGACACAGGGAAATCTCATTGACCACAAGAGAATTTAAGCCGCCATTAAATTATTTCCTACGTGTTGTGGAATTGTGCACCTGAAACCTGTATAATTTGGTTAAGCAGTGTCACCCCAATAAGTTCAATAAAAAGGTAAATAAAATTATTCCCTTTCCTATTTATTTTTTAAAAAAATATATTTTATTGATTTTCCACAGATAGGAAGGGAGAGGCATAGAGAGTTAGAAACATCGATGAGAGAGAAGCAAGCATCTATCAGCTGGCACCCGCACACCCCCTACTGGGGATGTGCTAGCAACCAAGGTACATGCCCTTGACTGGAATGGAACCTGGGACCCTTCAGTCCGCAGGCCGACGCCTTATCCACTGAGCCAAACCGGTCAAGGCTCCTTTCCTATTTAAATGCAGTTATTAGAAAATTACTCTGCAGCCTGTTTTTAAGGCTGTCCCTTCATGGCTCTCTTCCTTACATATAATTTCTCTCTTAAGACTTCTATCATTTGCTCTGTCTGTATTCACAGGTAGTTTGGGTCTACTGAAGAATTTAGTCCTTTAAAAAAAAAAGTTGTTCTTCCCTAAAACCTGTTTTCACATTTTCAACGGACTCCCAGTCCAACGTACAGCACACTGGGAAACTTGCAAGTGAAGCGTAAGGATTAGAAGCACCTAGAATAGAGGCATCACTTACGTTGGTCTTACCCTGATGTCCCGGGGAGTGAGGGGATCATAAGTGATTATTACTCCAGGAACTGGGAAAACCCACTAAGAACTCATTTCTGCTGCTTTGATTTGTTAAGATCGCCTCACTCCTATGAGGGGTGGCAGTTGCTCTCACCACAACCAGCAACATCCCAGCTTCTCCCCACCGTAAGCAAAGGACATTCCTATTATATAAGGAGTTGGGGCTGGATCTCAGCAGCCTGACCGAAGGCCGAAAAGAGCTCCACTTTCTCCACGCACTCCTTCCTCCTGCCTCGGGGCACCAGCCCGACCCAAGATGGCTTCCCAGAAACAGGTAACTAAATGTTTTCGTTCAGAGCGCCCCCAACGGCGGGGGCAGGAGAAATGCCAAGAGGCCTGGACGCCTGCGGACTGAGCCTGCCGACAGTAGCTACCGCCAGATTTTATTTTCAATCAGGCACATCTGTGGTTGCCTACGTACACTCCGGAGCCTTTTAGGACCTCCCACCCTCGAGAGACTTCCGGGATGGGACTCACACAACCCTGCTGGAAAGAGGCCGGGCGTCGTCCCTGCCATTGGTCGGAGGAAGCGTAGGTGGGCGGAGCCGGGCGAGAATGGACTACTAGCAAGCTAGATTGAGGCGAGGGCTGGCCATGCTCCGCCGGAAGGCGCCTTGTTCTCCGAAAGGGTGAGTTGAAACGCTGGCTGGAAAGGAAGTGCCGGGACTGGTTCAGGTAGGCTCCCCGTTCGCGCCCGCTCCTCAGTGCTGGTCCAGGGGTCTTTGCAAAGGCGAAGGCTCTTAGAATTGGTTCCAGTAACTCATCCCCTTCCTCGATCCACCGCCCCTTGCCCGCCCGCCAGTTGTTGAGGGATCAGGTGCTGGGTGATGCTCTGGACTGAACCATTCTCCTTTGTGAGA